CTTGTTATGAAAAGCATTATTTAATAAATATTAAACATAGATATTGTTGTGTTAATAATATTAATCTTGTTGAGACAAAAATTAAAAGTGCATTGTAACACTGCATCATTCTATTTTCCCTAAGACAAGAATCAAAACATTAATCATTAACAATTTTAGTGAAAATAACCATAACCCATATCAGAGGTGTGGACAATATTAATTTTTTTAGGAAGATTTTTTAATGTAAATCTTTCAAAAAATCTTACCTTGACAACTGGAATAAAACCTGTTGCTTTATCATTTTCAGTCACTGATGATATGACTTTTGCTTTCCCCAGGTAGTCCTGTTTTTCAATGTTGGCAGTTTTCGACTTAGGGGGCCTGAAGATGGCATCACTTGGTAAGTCCAAGAGACGTGCCTTCTGTCCAGTCTGGAGATGAATAAAGCAATAGTTAATTATGTCTAGTATTCTGTATGATTAATATTACAATGATACCACTATATAACTATATATGCTATATAGATGCAAAAAATATTTGGGTTAAATCTATTTTATCATGAATGATAAAAGTCAGATCGAGGACTGGCTCCAAAATGATAAATTCAGGTCCAGGACTGGTCCAACAATGATCAAGTCAGGTCCAGGACTTGAGCAAAAAATAATGGGAATGGTTCAGGAACGGTTTATTTTCCACTGTAGGGTTTTTTTTAGAAAAAACTGCAAGAGGGAGCACTGCAATTCAGCGGTGCCACCAAGTGGAGGAGATAGGGTTCTCCCTACCAGGGTGTGGAGTTTTTGATAATTGTAAGTTAAAATGGAGCATTCTATGGAAAAATGTTCACTACTAGAAAATTTTGTGATTTTCACAAACTCATGAAATTAGCAAAAATTTGTCACTCGCGAAATCAAACCGGTTTACAGTAAATACTGTAATTAAGGTCAAAGGTTACACAATGCAAGAACAATTACCTGAAATAGTCTTTTAGTTTCTACAAGTTGTGATCTGTTCTTATAGGTTTGTTTATCAGCCGTAGTAATAGCTCGGTTTATCAACTCAAATGATTTATGTCTCTCACCCAAAGCAATACATGTCAAGGCAAGATTGTGTAAAATCTGTAAAAAAATAAAAGGGTAAATATAAACTGATTCAAAGATTTATTTTATAAGGTGTAAATTAGCAAACAATTTATTTATCGTTAGACGTTAGATCAACAGTTCAAGTTTTTTTTATCGATTAGCAGGAATAATCAGTAGTTTTTACAGAGGGCTGACATAGGAAAAATATCATATGGAAATCCACTACCCTTAAAGAAAAGGATGGCTGTTACTTTTACAGTGGGACCCCTTGTGAAGAAGTTGGCTGTTACTTTTAAAATGGGCACCCCTTATGAAGAAGATGGCTGTTACTTTTACAGTGTGCATCCCTAATGAATGAATGGCTGTTACTTTTACAGTGGGCACCATTTGTTAAGGGATGGCTGTTACTTTTACAATAGGACCTCTTGTGAAGAAGTTGGCTGTTACTTTTAAAATGGGCACCCCTTGTGAAGAAGTTGGCTGGGATGGCTGTTACTTTTATAGTGAGCATCCCTAGTGAAAGGATGGCTGTTACTTTTACAGTGGGCACCCTTTGTGAAGTGGGATCTCTTTGTGCAGGGGATAAAAACATGTGCATTTAAAAGTTTGAATTATCTGTGCTACTTCTATCTTATTGATTTCATACTTAGCCCAAATTACCTGTATCATTACTAGTATTCAATCACATACACATTTCCCAAATCATTAAGTATGTAGGTTTTATACTATAATTAAAATTTGTGGCAAAGCATTGGGTCAAACTTTTTGCAAGAGGGTGTCGGGGGACTGTGGTTTGGAACATAAAATAGTTTTATTGAATGACACATGAATAACCAAGCCTTACATTTGTGGATAGAATTTTTGCAAAAAAACAATCAGTTTTACGATGACAAATACATGTTTTTGAGGGAGTATGGCACTCAACTGAGTCAATAATTGCCAATGCAGTGTTGCTGAAGTTTGGGAACTTCCAACTGCTTTAATGATACTGTTTACTATTTGATTACAAAAAGAAGACAAAATCAGTCTATGTATACTGTATGGCGATTCTACTCGTTCTCTCAATTTTATTTTTGATGGAACTGAATAATTATTCCAAAATGAACTAATGTTACCACAATATATAGTATATAACCACGGAAGCTCTGGGCAATATTCCTGCAGTGTATACAGAGAGAAGCTTGGCAATATGAGATGTCACACTGTGGTAAAATGGGTTTTTGATCTGCCCTGTCCTAGGTCACACTGTGGTGATATGGGTTTGTGATCTGCCTT